GGGTATAGGAAATAAGCCCCAATATAGTAGAGTATAGACTAAGCATCCTTTAACCCAGGATACTTAGTATATACTCTACTATATTGGGGCTTAGTTCCTATACCCCACCTTCCTTCATCCCACCTTTTGAGCCCTCTGACACATACCCCTGTCCAGCACTCTGAAAGGATCCCATGAAATTCAACTCTTATGCGAGGCATCATTCCCAGAATCCTGGGAGGATCTAGACGGTAGATTCCCCTGAAGGGTTTAGGGTTTAGGGTTAAGGTGGTTAGCCAATATCGTAGTAGAGGGTACCATGTTGGGAGTTATACTTTCAAATCCTCCCAGGGGCCTGGGTTAAACCGTAAACCCTAGACCTTATGATCAAAAGAATAGCGGATGAATTTCTGCGGGCTCCCTTCATTGAAGCCTTTGGGGCGTCCCAGGTATGAAGTCAGGCGTGCAGGGCTAAACCCCAAAAAACCGCGAAAGTGGGTCTATGGTTTACCTAAACCCCCAAAAGTATGTAAAATAATGGCCAATGATGGACCTAAACCTGTAATAATGGCCATAAAGGCCATTATTTTACAGACTTTTGGGGTCCAGGTAGGGTGTAGGGGATCTATGGCTGAACCCCTACACCTTCTGCCAAAGTGCGGATTGCGCTGAGCCAGTCTCGCACAGAGTCTAGGTCCTCCGCTGCTTTGCTGGATCGGGTGGGTAGGGCGAGCGTGGGGAGTGTAGGCCGATTATAGCCAATTGATATTAGGACTTTCAACAAGATCTTTGTATGCCTTTGGAACTTAAGGGCTCTCTTTTTCGAAGACCATAAGCCCTGAACCCTACATTCCCTCGCCCTTTGAGTTGTCCCAGTAATTACTACGTGCCACATGGTTTGGAGAATCATGGTATGCTAGCCCATGTGTAAACATGTCCCTTAAACCCTTTGCTTACACCCCACACCCTAAAACCCTCAAACCCTAAAACCCCAAATGCCCAAACCCAAACGCTACTCCCCCAAAATGAAACGTTTGAGCTCTGAATGTCGAAGACCGCTTTACAGATAACCGAGCATTTGAGCATGGGTTAGGGTCTTCGGTTTGGGGGGCAAGGTGGATTCCCTAATCACCCCCCCGGTACCCTCAAGGTTCACCCTTTTTTACGCTTAAATAGCCTCAACTAAACTAATTTTTTGGCGGCCAATCCAAGGGGGGATAGTATAGGGGGGTGGAGGGCAACCGCCGAAAGCAAAACTTTCTGGCCATGTTTGTGGCAGCTTCTGTACACCCAGACTGTAAATCCTAAACACGCAATCGCGACGAGGAGTCCACCTGCGAAACCCTGCGTAAACTTTGAACCCCAGCCCAAAACCCCAAACCTTAAACCCTAAAACCCCAAACCTTAAACCCTAAAACCCCAAACCCTAAACCTTAAACCCCTAAACCCCAGGCCACAAACTTTGCCGCCTGAGACTTGGCAGAGCTTTCCACCATGGCGGAGTAAGCCCTAACCTGCGTGGTTAGGGTTTAGGGTTGAGAGCTCCCAGACCCCTGGGAGGATCAAGAAAGTAGATGCCCCTTTAGGGTTATATAGGGTTTAGGGATAGGGCTTAGGATCTAGAAAGTAGATTCCCCTTAAGACTCATTAAGGGTTCCTAGAAATTACCCCATACTTGTACAGAGTACCATATTGGTGGCTTTACTTTCTAGATTCTAGATCCTCCCAAGGGTCTGGGTAGCAGTTGGAGTTAGAGGTGCCCAGACCCCTTGAATCATCTTAGGAGCAAGACCTTTACTTGATATCCTGCCAAGGCTTGGGTGATTGAGAAGAATCCTTACGAGACACCTGCTCTCCGTTCCTCCCGAGTTCCTGCGGAATTAATTGCATAGTACATGCTTGGGCCCCAAAGTTCTTATGGGACCCTAAGAAAAAATAATAGATACCTATAGACATGGAACCTTTGCAAGAAGGATCTGAAAAGTAGAGGGTTCAGAGTTCGAGTTTGAGATTTGGGGCTTCAGGTTTGGGGTCTGGGGCTTCGGGGATCAAGCTTTAAGTTTTAGGTTTAAGGTAGATCTTCCTATCCATCAGCCAATACCTTTTTTGGCCACCACATTGGGAACACTAGTTTTTGAATCCTCGCACTGGTCTGGGTGGCTCATCTCTGCAGAGATAAGGAAGTCCCTGACACTCAGCCCACAAGTACTCAGCCCTTATACCGCCAAGAAGAAAGCAGGATCCCTTTTGACGATAATATAAGCAAAGTTTTTTACTCCCAAGCCCATACCCGTGGGGGATCTGGAAAGTAGATCCCCCTTGAGTGTTCGACCCCCCAGGCGTCTGGAAAAGTATATGAAGGATTCCGCACGTGGACCTAGATTACATTGGCGACGACAAAGGGATCATTTGGGCAACGAGGTTTCTCCAAAAACGCTATTTAGGAACCTTACGGATAGATGGAGATTATAAGAGACGATAGGGGATCCTTATTGAGGACTATAAGCCCCAAACCCCTGAACCCCAAACCCCTAGACCCTATCTCCTGAACCCTAAAGCCTAAATCCCCAAACTCCAACGCCTACACCCTAATCGCATGGGGAAAAGCTTCCACATGAAGCGAATGCAAACTTAACAGCGCACTCCTAAACCTGAATCCCCTACACCGCACCTATCCTTATAGTGGCCCACACATACTTGGAGGTTCATGGGACTGAGTACTCCCCGGATCTCTGGGAGGATCTAGAAAGTACAATCCCCAATATGGCACCCTGTATTATTCTCACCCAGACCCCTGGGCGGATCTACAAAGTAGATCCCCGTTAAGGGTTCCTAGAAGTTACCCAATGGTAGCATAAGGCACCCAAAGGGGGGTTCTACTTTCTAGATCCTCCCAGGGGTCTCGGTAGGTAATCTCTAGGACTCTAGGAACCGCTTAGGGATACACTTTCTGGATCCTCCCAGGGGTCTGGGGGTTTTGAAAGGATTTAAGATTTGGGTTTTGGGGAAGAATCTAGTTTGAAGAGCCCCCCAGCTAAGTAATGTCTAAAACTTCAACGGCTATAGTTAAAGGGTTTAGGGTTTAGGTCCAGACAGCAGAACCCGCCCCCCATTATGGCACCCTATCCTGCTGTTAGGTTCTAGGAGCCCTTGAGGGGGATCTGCTTTCTAGATCCTAAGCGCTAAAGCGAAAAACCCTGAACCCTACACCCTAAAGCGTATGCCCTAAACCCTACATAACCTTTAAGGGGGATCTACTTTCTCCCAGGTGTCTCTTGAAAGGTAAGGAGGGCGTTCGTTGAATGCTCTTGGTATACGAGCAAACTATGACTAAAGGTCATGTTTGGTTTAGAGTTTTAGGGTTTAGGGTTTCGTGCTTAGAGTTCAGGGTTTAGGGGTTTAGGGTTTATAGTCCCCTCAAGTAGATAGCATATGGCTTTGGGTATAAGAAAAGAAACCCCCATATACCCCATTTTTCTATCTACGTAAGGGGGACTATAGGCTTTCGCAGCAACCTCCTGAGCAACTTGAGATCTGCAATTTCGGACTCCATCTGAAAACCCTAAACCCTTAGACCCTAAACCCCTAAACCCTAAACCCTAAACCCTAAATCCTTAAACCCTAAACCCTTAAACCCTAAACCCTAAACCCTAAACCCTTAAACCCTTAACCCACAAGCCATCCTCACTTCACTATGAAACCTGAAACCCTACACCCTAAGTGAGCAGCGTCTTGTCTTGGTGGTTAAACCCAGTAAGATTATATTCCTTATATGAAATACTATACCCCAAAAGGAGGATATAATCTTACTCTATATTGGGTACCATAGTATCCCTAAATTAGATACTACTCAAGTAGTGGTCCAGGGAAGCATCCAGACGCCAAACCCTCAAGGATTCCAAGCTCCCAATAGGGTTTAGGGCTTGGGGTTTGGATTTTGGGGGTATAGGATTCAAAGTTTCAGGTTGGTACATGTATAAGGATTGCGGGACTGTCATACTCATAAGCATAAAAGCCTCAAACCCTAAACCCTACACTCCAAAAGGGGCCCGGCATCCGGGTTCACAGCTGCAAGTCGCATGCGCGTGAACCTTACATAGCATTGCTTTTTCAGGTACAATTCAAGGCCTAGGGTTCCGGGCTCTGGGCTTAGTCATGGGGTAGCATTAGGTTTGGATTTCAATACCTGTCGGAATGGGCTGATTTGAGGGAGCTCCATGTTTTGCAGCCCTTGCAGGATCTTGGATTTCCATCAGTATTGGTGGTAGAAACAGAGGTTTGTGTGCTCAAAGAACCCAACTAATGTCAGCTGCACTAGTTGAGCTGGGAGCTTCCAGGCTTCACTGGGGTTTTCATGGCTGACTAAACCCTAAACCCTGTATTCCCCCTAATAAGGCGTTGGGTAAATTAAAATAGTATCCCCATATACCCCAAATTCTATCTCCTCAAGGGGGACTATAAATCCAAAATCCTGAGCCCAAAGCCTTTACCTCGCGGGAGTTTCGTCAACCCTGGCCTCATATTTCCGAAGCCTGACATCTGTCAAGTATAACGCGCAGGTCGGCTTATCGGAGGCTACTTTTTCCTAGTAAGTTCACGTACCATGCCACTTACCCTCGTTGTATTTAAGGCCCAAAGCCCCTACCTGGACTTTACGTGTGAGTAAAAATGTTTTCCCCAAGCTTTGAAAACTGCTCAAGAAGCATTGTTTCTACATTTAGTCCCCCTTTCGTAGATCGAATATGGGGTACATGGGGATCTTATTATAATATACCAAAAGCCATATTCCATCTGCTTGAGGGGACTATACCTTTCGGGTCCAGGCATTACGAAGCAGATTTGCTGAAACAAGAGAGCTTTCAAGTTGGGGAATCTTGGGATTTAGTACTCCCTCCATACGAATATCATATGAGCTTAATCTAAACTCCTTAAAAGGTAATATAGGGGATTAGAAAGGGAAGTATTATAGGGGCTATTAAGGGGATACTAGGAGTTTAGACTATAGCTTATATGTATAGATATGAAGGATTGGCACGAATGTGGTCTTTCTGGGAGCCTGTATACGAGGGAATCAAATATTCAAGGTACCGCACTAATTCATGATTGTGACGACCAAATTACGTAAAGAACAAAAGGTCATTTTACGGATTCGGCTTTCAAGTACGAAACAAAAAACCGAGCGCCCCTCAACCGTACCTGGCGAACCAACCGGAAATAAATGGATCTTACCAAACCAGTCAAGTTTTGTAGATCCGGATCTCCACATGATAGGCTCATGATTTTGGCAAGAACTGTTTCTTTTTGGTCATCGTGTTCTCAGGTAAGCCCTAGACCCCAACATGCAAGGCACTAAGCCCAGAGCCAGGAATGACGGAATAGCAGACCTAACTAGAGTAGGCAATCTACCCACGATAAAGAGCCCAATTTCTTTGAAGCGCTACCGCTTTTCAAGGACCAAAACTAACTTCTCATGTGTGTACTTCTTGTTCCTGTAGTATACTACAACTTGTTAACGATGACAAAAAAACAAGCCCCAACAGGAACTCCATGGGCTCCCTGTTCTCTTAGTAGGTCATTAAACACTAAGCTCTAAATCCCGTCATGTTTACGGTATATTCATGGATGAGACGGGTTTGGAAGGTTTGGACATGAATTCAAAGCGCCCTACCCCCCTGAAGCCACGCAATGCAAGCAGCGACATCCGGGCATTTCCAAATAGCTAGACTTAAACAAGCAAAGTAGGGGTTCTGGGGGATATCTTGGGAAATGCCCCAATCAAGAAACCAAGAAACAAAACAGGCATGAAACCAGAAGAATAAACAGGCTAAACATCTACAATGTTGTGAGCTCCGAAGGAAGGCAGCCCAAGATCCAACCCCGACCCCACGCAGGATCTAGCAAGTAGATTAAGCTGAAAAGTTCCAGGAAGTTACCGAATAGTAGTGCAAGGCACCATGTTGGGGATTCTACTCCCATTTTTTGTTTTTATCAAGGCTCTAGGAAGAAGTTGGACGTAAGGCTCACAAACATTCAAGTAGCTTTAATTAATACCCGAAGAACTTGGAAATTGACGTGCTGCATCGCGGCGCCTCGCTTCAGCAATTCGCGAAAAAACCCAAACCAGCAATGTGCACATTTGGTGTAAACGGCTTTGTTGTGATATATGAGGTCTCCATAAATCGGGAGACGCCGGTGTAGATTCCCAAAAAGTATGATCTTCATTATAATGACACCGGAAGCGTACTCCTAATTTAAGGGGGGCTCCATATTAACATTCTGGCGACATGAAGTTCTACGCAATCCGCATAACATTCAATGTTGAACCTGAACCCCTCGCAATACCGAACTTTCCATACTATTTTTGGTTCTTTGTTTTCCTGCTAACCAGCATGCGAGATCTGACTACTCAGCCAGGATGCAACAGCCCAATATCCTCTGGGTCCTAGGTAGGCAGGTTACAAAGCACTAGCGTGATTTGAGCTATATCCTAAACTCCTAGTATCCCCCTCGACAAGCCTGACAGTAATCCCTATACAATCCACTGTATATAACCCCTTGCGCAGGTTAGACGAAAGTATATTTGATGGCTAAGCAGTATTGCCAGGCTATCGCTTAGGTTTTCTTTGCTAGCCCTCAACAATTCCCTTCCTAGATGTGAATCCTGAACCGTAATCCGACCCTGAAGCCTCTAAACCCTGAAGCCCCTACACACTGGGTTGCCTAAACCGTGAACCCAAACCATCCGCCCTTATCCTTCAACCACTCTGCCGCAGCCGAATCTGGCTCCTTAGCGGGATACCGGCAAATTGCAAACTCATGTTCCCAATCGAACTTCCGACCGGCCAATGTCCTATCATGACTAGAAATTCAATTTTGGCCAAGAAAAGCGGCAGGCGAACAGTTGGTTTGGATGGGGACGCCCTGTAACGAATACTTGGATGGACTTAGCCCCACCACTCTTAACTGTTTGGCATCTTGGTAGTGCGGCTGGTCATATGTACGGCTGATACTATGTTTTTGCAGTACTCCTCAGGTCCCTGCAGCAGCTGCGGTCCGAAAACCCACTGGTCGAGTACAAAATGATTCGCTGTATAATATATCATCTTTCGCCTGGCAGCACTGCGGGACACTGGCGAACCCTGGCACAGCTGGCCACTCCCAAAGAACCACCTCACTTACCAAAGGACTGTCAACGTGAGCCACAAAATCCTTTCAACTTTAGTGTTCACCCAGACCCCTGAGAAGATCTAGAAAGTAGATTCGCAGATCCCCCAGAATTAAGGGTTCCTAGAAGTTACCCAAGAGTAGTACCAAATTGGGGGCTCTACTTTCTAGATCCTCCCTGGGGTCTGGGTAGGGTGTAACGTTCGGGGCTTAGGGTGTAAGGCTAATCCGCATGGCCCTAGGTGCCCTAAACATTGGGAACTATGGGAGTTCAGTGCGTTAAGGTCGTGCAAGGTTTCTAGCATTAAGAGAGGCTGCTTGCGCTTTAGAACCCCTTCCAACTCATGTGACCTACAGTCTGAACGCCCGGTATCCCCCCAAATACATACCCCCGTTTGTGCTTCCCTTTATAATCCCCTATATGACTGCCTTCAAGGAGTTTAGACCTTAAAACCTTAACCCTGGACCCTGAACTCTAAACCCTTAAGCCCCATATAGTCCCCCATGAGGAGTATAGACGATAACTCATGTCAAGCACTCCCGCCCTCCCCCCAATTATTGAATATTCCCTGTATGGACTGCTACACGTTTGGGGCTTAGTGTTGAGACTTGAGGGATGTGTTTGATCTTAGAGGATGTGGGTGGTACTTTTGAGGAGGGAACGGGTACAAGTAAGGTCACTGACTTCTAGCCCCACACTCATGTCGTAGAGGAAAAAGTGTATTCTAGCAGGTCTTCCAAAATGTGCTCCAAAAGGTGTTCCAACACCAGCCTGAAAGGAAGAGGTTGTTGCCACAGCTGTTCCACAACCGGCCCCTAGCTCCAAAAGGCTTCTGGCCTCCGTGATAAGCAGAAAGAGCAGAGGTACTGAGGCACAGCTGTGGGGCTTACAAAGTAAATAGGAGGCATTTGTGAGACCCCCCCCTGGCGCAAAAAAGTGCCGCACTATAACCACATAACAGAGATCGGATCCTTTTGTTGCATGGGTTTTCCTATACTTCGCATTCGGACTGTCTAAGCTCATGCTTCCACCCAGACCACATGCCTATACTAGTCTTTGCTACTTTCTGGGAGCCCTGAAGGGGGATCTATTTTCAAGATCCCAAATCCTCTACCCTAAACCCTAGATCCCTCATAAGTTTTAGGGGGCTTCTACTTCCTAGATCCGCCCGATAGTCTGGATAGAAACCCTGAAGGGCGATCTGCTGATCCCGCCGGGGCTTAAGCAACCCTAAACCCTAAACCATGTATATAAGTTAGGGGTTTAGGGTTAAGGGTTAAGGGTTTAGGGGTTTGGGGTTTGGGTTTAAGGGTTTAGGGTTTAGGGTGACATTCCTAAGAGCCCTGGCGAAAGCCTCAAACCACTGACCCAGCCCCATCCAAACTTTAGGGTTCAAGGTTTAGGGCTTTTAAATGTCGCAGAACAAGGGCATCAGACCTAAGGCTTTAGCATCTTCACCTCCTAGCAGCTACTGAATCACTTTAGCTAGGCCTGAAGTGGCCTACGCCTGAGATCCACCTCTGCCCGGAAAGCCTTGTCTTGTTGAGGTTTAGGGTTTAGGATTCGAGGTTATTTTTCATGGGCTACCCTACTACCCTGCCACGTTCTCTCTTAATTGGCATTTAATCAATCCTAAGCTGTCTCATTGAAGGGGGACGCCTTAATCTCGGAATCCGTGACTTTTGCGACACCAACCTGTAAGAAAAGGTAAGATACTGATTGGCTCCAAATTTTGCGGCTGGGGGTCACCCTAAAACCCAAATTTCTCGCCTTTAAGACGCAAAGCCCTCATCGAGGATTACCTGGACCCCAAAAGTAGGTAAAATAATAGCCCAAAACCTCTAAATATAGCCCAAAAGGCCATTATTCTACATACTTTTGGGGCCTAGGCAAACCTCATCCCAGCTCTCAACGCAGACTCCTAAACGGAACCCGAAGCCCCGGTCCCCAACCGCAATCCCTACCTGGGAGGATCCGGAACCAAAGACCCCCACTTGAAGGGCTCGGAGAACTTGCTCAAGCATGGTATGCTTGGTACTAACTAAACTGCAAGTCAAGATCTGAAGCTAAAAGCCCAAATCATAAATCCAAAGCCATAACCCCTGAATTGCTAGCTAACCATAAGCCCAACATCTAACCCTGAAGGAGTTCTACTGTCTAGATCCTTCAAGGGATCTGGATCATTTCGTTCGTCTGAGCGGCCAGAGGTTCGCTGCTTGAAAGTCGCTAGCCTCGAATCGAGGGACATGTCCCATTCTTACCTTTGATTGCTGGGAATGAAGGAATGGAAAAGAACATGGAAACTACCATAATGGGTTATACTCCAGCGGTTACGGACCTTCCCTTAGAAGCCCATCATGAACGCTTGAAAGTTTAGGGTTTAGGGCTTTTAGCGGGGTTTTGGGTTCTGGTAGTGTTGCCAACTCATCCTGTCATCACCAGCTTTCGGGGTCTACGACTGATTGAGCCCGCAGCACAGGCTTACCAAAGCTCTCGCCTCATTTGACAGTGCTTCAAACCCTAAACCCTAAACCCTAAACTGCCATTCTTCCTTTCCCTCGACCTCCTCTCCTACCCTACTTTCGCAGGCCCTAGCAAAAGAGGTCTGCAGCCCGATGTTGAAGGGTCGGATGGATGAAGCTGAACACCGGCCACGGACCCACCCACATGAGCTATAGTCTAAACTCCTAGTATCCCCCTTAATAACCCCTATACAGGTCCCCTATATAATCCCCTATATAACCCCCCTTTAAGGAGTTTAGACTATAGCCCACATAGTAAGGCGCATGAGCCTCTCATTTCCTGTTCACCCGCGTTTTGACCTTCCCTGAAGGGTTTTGTGCATCTCAGAACTCACAATAATCCATTAATCTTTTCAAGCTATTAAACCATGAGTGGTATAAGCAATTTGTGGAAGATCTTACTTAATTACAGGTCAACCGTGGGAGGCCTTGCTAATCCTGGGGGTAGTCGGGTGATGATGTCGTTGGGCTAGGGGTGGTTAGAGGGGTGGATGCGGCTGGGGCGCAAGGTAGCAGATCATCCAACGTGGGCTCAAGTATTTTCCTAACTCTCTTGTCCTTCGACACACTGGTCTTCGACTTCTGCTTGCGCCCTGCAGGCAGAAGCAGTTAATATGTGCCGGTGCAACGGCGGGTACGCAAATCAACACATGCAGACTTCTCGAAACGCCTTGATCTTTTGCATGGAGGTTCTTCTCGTTCGACTTTGCGAGGTCTTTGGTCTTGCTCAACGATTCCTGACTGTCCGACAAAAACTCACGTCAGCCTGTGTTCATTGATGGAAGCACCGTTCGCGGCATGCTGAGCGTTAGCGTCAACTAGGCCCTGCAACAGCAGCCTGTGCCTGTGCGGAAGATGAAGTTCAGAACCCCAGATCCTAAACCCTAAGCCCTTAACCCAGTAACCCCGAAACCGAATGGATTTCGAAATCGACGCACAACTTCAGAGCCTCCAACCTACTGCATCGGCGGCCTTACAACAAGAGTGAAGTATCAGACGATCCTCTTTAATTATCTCCCAGACCCCTGGGAGGTTCTAGAAATTGGTTAGCTTGGGATACGGACCAAGATATTAGGACTTTAGGTTCCAAATACCACTAAGGCTATAGTATATGGCCCGAAAGCCTCATGATTTTTGTCCTTGGACCCTTAAAGAATGTTTTTAGTGCAGATCTAATAAGAGATACACTGAAGCGCGTGCCGTCACAACTTCTTGCCAAATGGCAGTTCCCTAAAACGGGGAACCCCAATATAGACCCCAAAATACTATAATCCTCTATATGGGGACCCCCCAAAAACTACCCCCAATTTTGGGAAACCACCAAATACATTCTTCTAGAAATGCAGCAGCCGCAGTGTTAAGAGTCTTGAGAAACCGGTGGCGCGTCTGGGAGTGTCGTTCCATATTTAGGGTATTAGGGATATCTCAGTTTAGGGTTTAGGGCATAAGGGTATTACGGTGTAGGGTTTAACCCGCTAAACCTCCGCCCAACAACTGCCCCAAGGACCCTAGCCCCTAACTCTTGCCGTGCTAAGCCCTTAGCATCGATCTAGAGAGTGGAACCTTCAGCCAGTGACACAAATGGGAACCCTTGAATAGGATCTATTTTCTAGATGCTCCCAGAAGGATTCTTGGTTCAAACTACCAGCAAAATTTCACTAAACCCTAAATCCTAGACCCTAGAGAATTCTAGGGGCCTTAAACTCTCAGCAAAATTTCCCTAAAACCCTAAACCCTAAACCCTAAATCCTAAAACCTCAAATCCTAAACCCTACCCTAAGGGTCTCAGGACTATTTGGGGCTTTCTGGGGCGAGGTTTAGGCTTTGGGGGCTAAGGTTTGGGATTTAGGGTTTAGGGTTTAGGGTTGGGTAGGGTAAACCTAAGTAAACCCTAAATCCTGAACCTTAAAGAATTCTTGGTACCTTCACCTTCCAAGTCCCCGGCATTTGCGGCTGCTGTCAACAAACCTCCAAACATGACCTCGACTTGGGTTTATGGTTTACAAGGAGGGGCCCTCTAGTTATAAGGTGGGTTTGAAGTTGGGCTAAATTTAGTTACGAATTCCAACAATTGTAGTTATAGGATTTATAAGTATAGTTCTGTAACTAGGGGGCTCCTCCTTGTAGGGTTTGGGTCAATCCCTCCTCAAATACTGAGTACCGCAAGGGATACTTGTTTTCCGGTACTTTTTCCCACGACTTGGGTTTAGGTTTAAGTTTAGGCTAGAGTTGGGTTTGGGTCAATCTCTCATATAACAATGAGTACCACAAGGGACAATTCTAGGTATATTGAAGCCCTAGGAACTCCATATCTAGAGTCTATCAATGTAGGTTTGAACACAGATTTCCCAGACTTTTTAAGAGATGGAAACTAAACACATGACCGTCCTTCGCCACGAGCTTCAAAGCTGGGATCAGCCCCGAACCCTAAGCCCTGTAAACCCTACGCGGACCCCAAAATAGGTGAAATAAGAGTCCAAAACTCCTAAATAGCCCATAAGGCCATTATTCTACATAGTTTTGAGGTTCAAGTAAATCCTGAACCTGTATACATTTGAATTTAAGGATCCTCTTGGGGGTCGGGGGTGACGACTTCGCGGGTGGAGATGTGCAAAAAGCCGACCTAAACCCGAAGAGGGTTTAGGGCTTAGGGTTTAATGTGTATAAAATGATAACACTTTTGGCTGATTTTAATGCTTTTTGGGGTCATGATTCTACCTACTCTCGCGGTCAAGAAAAGGATTATCAGGGCTCAAGAATCGAAACCTCACAGAAGACAAGCCTACAAGTACATTGAACTTGGGGCACGATATGGGGTTTCGAGGTCTAGGGTTTAGGGTTTTTGGGTTTAGGGTTCAGGGTATTGAAAGCCTTTGTTGTTGGGGATGGGAGTACTTAGTCCTTTCGGAAAGCTAGATTACTCCGCCAACAGACCTGTTGATTAGCCACCAAAATGTGAGCTATAGTCTAAACTCCTGAAATGGGGGGTATATAGGGGATTATATACGGGACTACTATAAGGGTTATTAAGGGGGATACTAGGAGTTTAGACTATAACTCATGTAGGACAAGGGCTGTTTAGCCAAAACAAGTGCGAGCTCCTCACGCCTGAGCCATGGAAACCGAGAGCAATCTACTCGGAGGTTCAGAGCAAGTATAACCCAAACATGCGCGTGGTTTTAGCCCTGCCATTACATTACAAAAGGACTTCGAGGGCTCGTGATTGGGTTCGAACTAGCAGTTATAAGCACAGTTTGAAAATAGGTTATGATTACTCTGAACCTCCAAGCAATACTCCCTTCGCAGTGCAAGAACCCAACAGTACAGGCACTCATTGGAAACGTGCGCGTGAAAAAAAAACGAGACAAACAACAATGCCAATCCCTGGGACGAGCAAGTACCCTACTGATTCTGTCGGTCACGGCTCATACATGTGAATCAATGACATGCCAATATGCAACGCACCTTCCGTATTTGGGTTAACAGGACCCGTGGCACAGGCGAGCGTCATGTGCTGTATGGGCATTTCCAAAAAGCAGGCCTCACCTGAATCCTACGGTTGATGCTGCCAATCCTGCTTGACCGTAATAATAATGGGCTCCCCCCTCTATACTACCCCCTCTAGGTTCCCCCTTCATTAACCCTAATTATCCCTAAATAACCTTAATTCAGGGGGGACCCTGGGGGGGTAGTATAGAGGGGGGTATTAGTCGAACCCTTAAAATAAACTGTAGACTATAACTCTCAAGGTTGAGGGTACATGCGCTGATGCAGGACGTTTCAGAGTCCACTGTATATTTATGTGTCCAACTTTGCCAAACAAAGACCACAACGTTTTTGAAACACCTTCAAGGTAGAACCCCAAATACGGTACCTTGTACTACTATTGGGTAAGTTTCAAGGAAGCCTTTAGGGGGAACTACTTTCTAGACCTGCCCAGGGGTCTGAAATAGGACTACATGTACGCTAAAGGTTGCTCAGTCAGCTATTAAAACACCAGTAACGGAACACCAGAAGCCATAAACTTAATACCAGTCAACGCCGCTACCCTGAACCTTGTTGACCCATCTCGGGGAGGATCTAGAAAGCAGAGCCCCCAACCCTACCGCTGGGTAATTTCTGTGACGCCCCTGAGGGTGATCGGCTCCTAGATCCACCTCCTAAACCCTAAACCCTAAACCTAGATCCACCCTGGGACTGGGGCTGAAATTTGAAATCTCCGGTTCGCACAGCTGCAATGTCTGAGGGCTTCGCGATGCTCGGATTGATGTGGAACTTTGAGACGCGAGCCTTGTAAAATGATTTTGAGCTGAACCCCCATACCCAGACCCGTGAGAAATCTAGAAGATAACCCAACTGGCCAGCAAAGTGCCAATTGCCATGCTCGGGAAAACAAACAATTATGCCAAAGTTCGGCGGTGGATCTCTGGAGGATCTATGTAACTCTGAAACGAAACTATTGTCTGGCGCCTCATCAATCATAAAGATCATCCCCATACAATGCCAAGATTGAGCGAAGAGGCATTTCTTGTAGTGGGAGGGGATCTTTATGGAATTGAGCCTAAACCCTAAACCCTAAACCCTAAAGAGGGATGGGAGCTTTTATTGGGTGACCTACCATGCACCCTTTGCATGCCCCTGACCCCTTAACCGCCTATTGCATGCTCTAAGGTTAAAACCATGGGCCCATAGTATGGGCCCTTAACTCTGGGATCCTTATATACCTAATATATACAATATATGTACCGTTAAGGGTCCCTAGAATCTCTCTAAAAAGGCCTAAGGGCCCATATTAGGGGCCCATACTTCTACCCTTTGACATGCAGTGACGTCATGAGTTATATGGAATGTTGTTGCTCTTCTTCCTCCTTGCTACTGGGGAATCCTGAACCCTCAACCCCACTACACGGGCCTAAAGGTATCTATATAATGACGAACCAACTTGAAAAACAAGCGCAACTGCGCCGAAAACTAGGTTGATACAGAGGTGTTTGAGCATGACGTACGGGTCTGAAAGTTACGAGTATCACGATGAGGTCTGATTCAGGTACCCTATACCAAAACTCTGCAAGCAACTTGGGACTACAATCCCAGACCCCTAGGATCCCTTAGGAAGATCTGGGAAGCTGATCCCCCTTTAGGGCCTCCCGGGAAATACCCAATAGTCGTATGGTCGCCTCGACTTTCTAGATTTGACTGGGGTCTGGGATTCCTGGAACTTCTTTGGGCCCCCACTTTAAGCCCTAAACTGAGCGTACAAAAAAATGGTTTCCAGCTCAACATTGCAATATACGAATGGGAACCCCAAGCAGGAAACCCCAAAGGGTGATAGGAACCTTCTGCTCCTACTATGTGTCTACTATACTTTTGGGGGTTCCATGGAACCCCAAGCCCGCAACCTTCGACCGGCCACCCTAAACCTGAAATCCTACATCCCGAGCCCTAGATCCTCAACCCTAAATCCTAAATCCTGAACCCTAAATCCTAAACCCTCAACCCTAAAACCTAAACCCTCAGCCCTGAATCCTGAACCCTCAACCCTGAACCACCTTGAGGCTCAATTTGCACATGTTTCATCCCTGGCCATGCGCTCCGCATGAACAGGCCCTACCCTATCAAGCTTGAACGTCATCCCAGATCGGTTGACGTAGAAACATGTGCACATACCCCAAACCTACGTGGCACTTAGGACCCCTACCAAGGGGAAGGTCAAAGCTAAGACCCAAGGGAAGCAATATGTTTGAAGAAAGATCTCGCAGGTAAGGGGATCAGGATTGTTTCAGTGTGTCAGGTTCGGCATTTTTGCATTGAAGGTTTCGGGCCGTGGTATCGGGAGTTTCATCCTAAGCCCGAAGGAATATTCAGGGTGTAGGGATTTGGGGATTTAGGGTTTCTGCGACACCTTAACTTCGGCCCCTACGTGCCCTCAAATCGGGGGCATTACTCTAGATCCCTAAATCCAGCCACGCGAGCCTCTAAACCCTAACTCCCTAAACCTTAAACCCTAAAACGTGGCTAGAAATCCTAACGAATTCGGTGCGGGTTTGAGTGCTTCAACAGTCAAGGGTTCCCCCAGGTGGGTTCTTACCGGCTGAGTAGACCGGCTGAGTAGACCCATGTAAAGTTCCTATAAGGCTTGTATCAGGCTTGTGTAAAGGTACTGGGGCCGTCCGTATGAGGTCTATCTTTATGAGCTATCACTTTTTCCATCTAATGAAAGGACATAGGTTCTATTGAGGCCAGTGACGTCTTAAGTCAGATGTGTCTTAATTTCATGTAAGGTACGCTCTTCATGGATGGACTCCCTTAATTAAAGTACTGCTATATATCCCCGATTTCTATACAATCCTACTCATATTGATTTTAAGAACCCTCCAAAAGGTGAACAACCTCTGAACTCAATGCCCATGACCCTAAATCCTAAACCCTAAACACTAAAGCCCTAAAGCCCTAAAACCTTAAAACCTAAACCCTAAACTCTAGCCTCACCGACCTAGGCTCCCCTAGAAACCTCTGCCAGCTTTTGTTTAAAATGGACCCACGCTTCAAGAAATGAGCCCTGCCTGTAAAATGTGCCCAACCCTACGGGTTTAGGGCTTAGGGTTTGGGGCTTGGGTTTGAGGGCTTAAGGTTTAGAGTTTGAGAGCTCCCCCAAAAAAAGCACCAACAAAAACACAGTAAACCCTTGGCTTGATACCATGTACAACCAGTGGGTCATGTGTATGAACCCGCGAGGAGGACTTACTGTCCAGATCCTCCCAGGAATCAGGGAGTACTGTAAACCCTAAACTTACATCCTAAACCCTAAACCCTAAATCCCAAACCCTAAACCCTAAATCCAAAACCCTAAACCCTTAACCCCAGTAACCCTAAACCCTGAATCCTAAACCCTAAACCCTTAGGGTTTAGCCTGAACTAACAATCCTTAGTCTCCGACAAACCAACGCTCGGCGGCGGCGCGCGGATTCTGATAAGGAAGGCCGGCTACGGGTTTAGGGTTTAGGCTTTGGGGTTTAGGGTTTAGGGTTTAGGATTTAGGGCTTGGGGTTTAGGATTTAGGGCTTGAGGTTTAGGATTTAGGGCTTAGGGTTTTAGGGTGGTAGGGTTTCTAGAGTTGGGAGGCGGTGCCGCATTGATGGACCCTGATAGTCACTGGGGTTCCATGATTCAGTCACCATGGAAGCCTAAGCTTTGAGTCCCCCTAAACCCTAAACCCTAAAACCTTAAACGCTAAAATCCTAAAATGGTTTCCGAAGAGTTCGGGTTCCTTATATGACATCGCCCCTTTCCGGTGGCGGGTTCCGGGTTCCTTAGAATGAAGACCTCTGAATACATGATCCATCATTCACATGAGATTCGTCATAATTTTGGAATACAAAACCTAAAACCCTGAACCTTACTGAAACCCTACACCCTCAAGCCTGAACCCGGAACGACAAGAAGCAAGAACGTATACCACCGTGCTGGACCAGATGTTCTGCGATGGTGCTGGGTTTAGGGTTTAAGGCTCTGCAATGCCATGAGACCCGCAGTTGCTGAGTTCTCTCCCCAAACCTAAGTTCTGAAACCCTATCGTCGCCTCAAGTAGATAGAATATGGCTTTGGGTATATTATAAAAAGATCCCCATATACCCCATATTCTATCTACTTAAGGGGTTCTCTCAACCTTAAATCCCGAAACCTAAACGCTAATCATATCACCCCTAGCCTTCACTAGGGTTTAGGGTTTAGGGTTTAGGGCTTCCTCCCTAAATCCGATCCTTACAAGACCCCGACATCTGATACTTCAGGCTAGACACCTGCCCAGCAACAGTTCGATGGTAATTACCCCAAGATTTAGGGTTTAGGAGGTTAAGGATTTAGGGGGCTAGGTTTGGGATCCTACTATGGGGATCCAAGAGCCTTAGGGTAATTGTCACTCCCATAACTTGGGACCCCAGTACGGCTTCCAGTATACTAGAGCCCTAATTACAGGTACCCCCCCCAAAATTACCCGTAGTTTATGAAGACTCCCATATGGCCCTTAGCATCAACCTTGTTACAGGCTATTACTGGCTGTGGGCAGTACCGAAGAAAACCTTACACCCAAATCCTAAACCTTTAGCTAAAGAGACTTTACTGGGAACCCCAAACAGGGAACCCCAAGAATGCTGTAGGAACATAATTGAAAAAAACCTACCAGAGTCCTTATATTCTATTTGATTCCACTACATTCTTGGGGTTCCCTGTTTGGGGTTCCCAGTAAAGTTCCTGTATTAATTCCAGACCAAGCACTCCACAAACTTGATCTGGTTCGACATGCGCTCTGCGCGCCTGTTTGGGGTTTAGCGTTTAGGGGCTTTAAGGTTTAGGGGGAAGCTGGGTAATGGAAAAGAGGAACAACGCTAGTAAGGTATTCTAGGGCTTAGGGATCTTAATTGACGGGCGAGTGGAAGATTAAGATGGGATCCAAGAACTGCCACGGGAGCTTACTACAACGGGCTTAAAAGGGGAATATCATAACAGTTTATGTCCCCACATGATAGAACAATTGTCGTCACAAAATCTATGAAGGCTTTAGGGCTTAGGAGAATTGGGTTATACTTTAGGAGGACCCCCCACCCTGTAATAGCGGTATAATAGGAATATAATAGGACCCTAATATCATCCTTATTATCCCTTATAGTCACTATTACAGGGTGGGGGGTCCACCTAAGTTATACTATACGATGGGCCTTTAGAGCCGTTGGGAAAGCATTACTATACAGGGTGCTTCAGACATGTGTAGACGCTGCCTCGCCGGAGCTCCAAAAGGCAATCACGACTCCGTACTGTTCTTCAGGGTTATGTAGGGATTATAGGGTGTATATGGGGGTTTCCCAAATTTAGGGGTACCTTTTTGGGGGGCCCCATATTAAGGATTATAGTATTTGGGGGTCTATATTGGGATCCCCCTATTTTGGGAAACTACCATATTGGTGTTATATAGGGATCATGGAAAAGCAAGTGGAAACGTGGTACTATACTGCTGTGTAGGCCACTGATTGGCACCGGGAGCTAGTTCTAAGGGATGTGAGCTTCCCAAAGAGTGTGAAGCACCCTCTGCCTTTAAATAGCAACGCGGTCATGGTAAAGTGTCCTACTACTGTTGATACTAAAAATCCTACATGACCCTAATATACTATAGTACTATAATTCCCAAGGTATATGGTACTTAGGGTCATGCAGGATTTTTAGTATCCACCGTATTGCTGCATGGCGAGATCCCGGCGTCAACAAAACAAGCGCACTTGCCCATTTTTTCCTGCTCATTCTGTCTCTCCGACGCACAACTGCGAACTAGGGCCGGTAGAACAGCAGAATAAGGCCACGGTCGCTGAAGTGATCATAAGGTCTAGCAATCTAGTAATAAACCTTCAGCATTTATGGATGAAAACTAAACCCTCAAGGCGATACAAGTGTCATGTTGGAGTTGTTCTACTTGCACGTCTCTGGGCCGCGCACGGCGTACGCGTGAAGCATTGGGGCTTTCGCACTATAGGACTGCGGCTCTCGAGTTTGGGGTTGTGAGTTGCAGGTTCAAGGTCTTGCGCTTAGAGAAGAGAGGTTCCAGCAATGTCCTGCATTTCGTAGTTGCCTTAAATAGGAGGACCCCAACATAGACCCCGAAATATTATAACCTTAATTATCGGGACCCCCGAAAAGGTACCCCTAATTTTGGAAGAAAAAAACAACAACATTTCTAGTGGCTCGGGACACTTGACCGCTCCGATGACCGAGCGAATCGTTCAAAGACTGTCGTGCTGAAGCACGAACGGCACCCCCTGCCGCCTCCTTTGTTCAGAGGCAGCAATGGCTGCTCTAAATACGGCCCAGCAGGCACAATGGCTAGAGGATGCAGGACGGATCACCGTCAGCAGAAATAGCCTGACATCTCTTCCACCTTGCACTATCGAAACTCTTCCACGCGGTCACAAGAACTCAGGAAGCCCCATGTGCAACAGAAATGCAAAAGTGAGATCGTGCAAAGTCGAGGACTTGATGAAGTTGTCTACGACAAGATATTGGTAAACATGGTCCAGCCTTTAATGCAAGGGTGAAGTGTTTAGGGTTTAGGGTTTAGGGTACTGCTTATAAGGATGATCGATCTCCCATGAAAGCTCCGTCTCGCCGTTGATTTCTCACCTCTTATGGCAGACAGCGCGCCAGTGTTCTGGTGAGGTAAGTCGTCACCAAGATATACAAACAGGGTGTATTTCGTACAGCGGCTTTACCCCACTGCCATGAAATCAACGGCCCAATCCCTCCAAACCGAAACCCGAAAACCAAACCTTCCCGACTGAATAAAATCCTAAAACCGCGAATCAAGGCTTCATGAAGAACCCTAAGAGGGGTCTTACACTCCATAGGAGCTGCAAAGCTTAAAAGACCTTAAGCACTGAACCCCAACCCCCAAACCCTACATCCGAAACCTTAATCCCTAAACCAGATTGAAGCACTTGAATGAGGCATAATCTAAAACTCCGAGTATGCCCCTTAATATCCCCTACAGCAATCCCCTATATGATCCCCATATAACTAGAAGCCCGTTTTAGGAATTTAGACCATGAAACCCAAACCCTATAAACCCCCTTTCAACCCTAAACCCCAAACCCTATGTGGTCTCATATTATTTATCGATGGCTCAAATCGCCATCCTGCCCTAACCTCTGCCTCCGCGCTCCTGGGACCTCCTTTTCTGAGGCATCCAGGGCACCAGCGGACGATTAGAACAATCAGATTGCTGAAGGGAATGCTGGAAGGTCCAAGATGGTCCAAGACACTCTGTTTCACCTAGGGTTTAGGGTTTAGGGTTCAAAAATGGAAGAGGTTTCCTGGACGTCCGTAGTCCAGTGCAGAGAGCAAGTCTATGAACTGCTATGATCTTTTCGCACCTTCTGCATAAGAAAGGAGACCTTCAACTTGCAGAGGATAGTCTGGCTTGCACTCCCAAGGCACCCACCACGATTTATGCATAGGCAACCTATACCACAATGACGGTAAGTAAGAACTACCCCAAATTGTAGCCATTGAGTTATGTAAGGTTCAGACTGCCGCCAGGGCGCAAGGAAACTTACAGATGGGACGGACAACCATAAAAATACCGCCCACATCACCCTACTTGAAGGTTTTGCCGCTTAGCCCTTAGTAACTGGCAGTAACCAGGCAAATACACTTTTCTACCATCCTCCGATTTCGGCGTTTGCTGGTTACCCCAATAATGGGCAAGGTTACAAACCCCGTTACTGATGGCTCTTGAATCACACAAATGCACAGGGGAGGTCTTTGAAAGGGAAAACCCTAAACACTAAACCGTGTGTTGCCCCCTAAACCCTGTGTAAAGACCTTCAAGCCGCTACCTCTCATCTGAATCTGGCTTTTGAACACTCCCGGAGCCTGTCCATGAAACCAAACCTTACTTTAATGTCCGGGCCTTAACAGGGTTTAAGGCTGAGGGTAGCTATCTCGGACACCCTATACTATAGTTATACAAGGAGCCTAGAACCATTATCTATCATCCCGAAGAAGCCTGAAACCGAAAAATTCAAATGACACCCCCGAATTACAAGAGTCATGGCCGCCTGAATACTAGTTCCTTCATGGAGACTACACTCCCGGAAACTAACATGGAAACCCCCAAAAAAGGCCCTACAAAGACTACAGTCCTTCTAAAAGGGGACTATACGGGCTTCCATGTTAGTTTGGGAGAGTGCAGAGGTTGTGGCTCAGATCGTTTTGTAGGTCAGTCTAGGGTAAACCCTAACCCTGAGGCTTTTGTCAGCGCTTGGAGTCGTAAAGGTCACTGTTGAAGGTCTCCCCTTCTTCCCTTGCAATCTTCTGGGCCTAGACCTACAAATGACGGGCTTCTTCGAAGAGGGCTTGCCGCTTAGTACTTCAGGAACTAGATTCCTTGCCCCTGGCACGCAGGGAATGAAGAAAGGAATTTAT